AATCGGATATTGACGAGAGCGATACGAGCACTGATGATGCGGACAGCAGCGAAGAACTCGAGAGCAACGAGGTGAGCATACTTAATCGCCAGGGAGGGTCTTGATGTAGTGCTGCAATTTATTTCCCACCATTGCCCCAGTGAGAATGTTGAGATGATAAACATTTTTATAGGATGAGAAGCCGAAAGTTGAATTCAGCTTATCGTTGTTTCGAGCTGGTAAAACTGACGAAGAAAACGACGTAGACCTCAAGCCGGAAGTTGAGCAAGTGCCAGAAGGGTTTCGAGAAGCTGGTGACTCCGAGTCCTGCAGTGATTCCCCAGTTGGAAAGAAACCCAAGCGGCTAGTAGAAGAGCTGTAAATTCTTTGTTCATCTATTTTATCGCACTCACTGAAAACCAGTTGTAAAAGCAGTGTACCTCTTACCTTGGATCAGGGCCATTCTTCTGTGCCACTAACACTTGTGATGTTTGTGTAGTCCATTTTTCACTAAATTGTCCCACATGTTACCTAGCAAAAGTAGTTCTGTTCAGGCTGACAATCGGGTCGTAAGATTGGAATCATATTGATAATTCTTTTCTTGGGTTGTGTCAGAAGTTGCTTTCAATTCCCTTCCTCATGCCTGCATGCTTTTGGAGGCCATATTGGCCCGCTCATATCTCTTTGAGATATTTTCAAATCCTTTCAGTGTAGCTCCAGATTGATTTGTTTATTGGCATAAAATGTTTTCAAATGCGTTCATCAATTAGCTCGTTTGCTGGTTTACTTCCAAGCCTTTCGATCATTAATCAGTCCGTGCATTTCTATGCTTTTACCTTGACCTTCCGAGTTATTTTGTTGTCAGTCAGGCGTTTTGAAACTTATGCTGATTTTTCTCAGCTCAAACAGTCACCTTACTAAATACACTCGAAAGGGTGGGGTAAGCTTTATATTCTTAGGGAGTCGAGTGATGTCCACCGCCGCGACCAAGGCTTTTGGGCGCAACGCGATTCTACCCTCAGGATGCGTAAGACCCAGAATTGCCCTCTATCTCACTCCGAGTGAGTTCAAATGTAGCGGCTAGGATCTGTCGCGACGCCTCGTTTGGGCTCTGCACCTCTTTCGCGAGCA